ATGAATGTATTATGAATGTGAATTTCTGCATTCTCTACTTTTCGGTAAATTAGTAATGCTAGATCAAAAAGAAGGAGTGTAACCTTTTCTTTTTGATCAAGCAGCAAACTCCCAAGTCCTTTTATGTTTTCTTACAGTTGGGGGGGGGAGGAAATCACTAAATCAACAAAAATAAACATTAATGACTGACATTCATCTGCTGCATGACTGACATTCGTCTACTGAATGCAAATGCATATTATTGAATGCGAGATGAAATTTCACAAACCTATCAGTATTCTAATCATCTATCTATTCATGTTCTTGCATTTGTGCTGATGAATTTTAAAAATACAACCACAAGGCTTCATTTTTGCAGTTGGTGGTATCAGATAAAAGAGTTGGAGAAAAATTCTGCAGTAGAACTTTGTGTATGGCTGTGGAATGTGAATACTGATGAATGCCATATTTTATGTGAAATTTGTGAACATGAAATGGGAGGGATTTATATCCAGAAGTATTATCTCTAGACTTAAAAACCTATTTAGTAGGTAAATCATCTGATTGTTTATGTGTATTGAAAAGCAATTTAATAACAATCTATAATTATGAAACAAATTCTGTTATTTGTTCCATAACTGCAAACAGTTTTCAAAATTATAAAATAATTAAGAAAGAGATTTAATAAAAGCAACTGTAAAACAATCCAGTATTTTTTTGTTTTTATTTATGATGTTTCCCTCTGTCTCATTATGTCTCAATTTTATTTTTTATTATTAGCTACTATTTTTAATGGTACTTTTCCATTATTCTTCTGTGATGCTTTTGGGTGTCTACGAAAGAGAAGTTAACCACCTGCCGAGATTCAATAACAACACCATCTGGGAAACAAACCATTTATCGATTTGCTTTTCCCATGCAGTTCATTTCTAATTCATTGGTTTGTGTGTTCATTTTACCACAGTGCATTTTGAAGATTTGGGATTTACCAAGCAATAAACAAGATACAGTCAAAAGTCGTTAATTCGGACACCCATAATCTGGAATGATCTATAATCTGGAGCTAAAAACTTTCTGCACATGCGCCGCTTTGACACATGCGCATAGATGTTTACACGTGCATGTAAGACCTTTACGACTGCGCATATGCATGTGCGCAAGCGCAGAATACGTTTTCCCGTGCGCGTTTTATGTATAACGGACGATATAAGCTAAAATTATCTAATTATCTATTTCAGTTAATGTTATGATTGCGTTGTTCCTTAATCTTCAAATTGGATCTGGCTTATTATTTTTTGCAGACTGTAAGTGCAATTTTATAAAAGTAAACTTGAACTTTCGACAAAACCAAAGTATGTTTCGATGTCCATCAAACAAAAAGTGGAATTGCTGCAAAAAATGGATAAAGAAATGAAGAAGGTGACAGAGAGGTTAGTGAAAATGAAAAAATTTCGATTGACAAGTTAGTCGGTATTCTCGGCACAGCAATTACGGGACTTCAACAGCGGAACTTTGTAACTGAACAAGAAATTATGTCTGTTTATAGAATTAAAGAGAAAGTATTATCACATAAAACGAAGCAACTTAAACAACTTACATTGAAAGAAATGTTTAATAAAGTAAACAAATAAATATTAAGCTTTTTTTTTTTTTTTTGTAAATTTTGATACCCTTTAGATCATAATTGTTCTTTATTTCATAAATTACGGTTTCATATTTTTAATTTTAGAATTTCTGCATGCCATCTTACGAGATTTAAACTGATGATCTATAATCCGGAAAAATTGATAATAAATTATCCATCCTTGTGTTCAAATGAGCACCTGATGAAAGTCAAATATTTGCAGGAGCCTGCCGAAGATATTGCCTGACCAAAGATATATATTATCTTCGGTCAAGCACAAAAAGGAAAGGCACCTGAAAAGGGACATGATTTCAGAAGTTATGCATTCCTTTCTCACCAGTCTATGATTTATTTATTTGTGGTTCAAAGAGCTGACTTAATGATTTTTATGAACAATGGTAATTAAGCTGCAGGATGATCTCTACACATTGAATCATTCTTTTTTGACTCCTACTTAGAATTTATATGGCAATGCATACATCCAAAGGCTAAAATGTTTTCTGTTATACTAGCAGATATCTGTAAATTTATGTTTCCTGTCTAGTGTCCTCTTTCATTTCAGCTCATGCTATTTTAATAATAAAAAATAAAATAAATTCTTTTGGAACTACTCTCATATACGCCCTCAGTTGGCGAGAAATTTCTTTGGCGAGAAGCTCCACGCCATATTACTACAGTCAAAAGTCGTTAATCCGGACTCGTCGGGACTTCGGCGATTCCGGATTATCGATTTTTCCGGATTATAGATCATCAGTTTAAATCTCGTAAGATGGCATGCAGAAATTCTAAAATTAAAAATATGAAACCGTAAGTTATGAAATAAAGAACAATTATGGTCTAAAGAGTATAAAAATTTACAAAAAAAAAAAAAAAAAAAAGGCTTAATATTTATTTGTTTACTTTATTAAACATTTCTTTCAATGTAAGTTGTTTCATTTTGTGTGATAATACTTTCTCTTTAATTCTATAAACAGACATAATTTCTTGTTCAAAGTTCCGCTGTTCAAGTCCCGTTAATTGCTGTACCGAGAAAACCGACTAACTTGTCAATTGAAATTTTTTCATTTTCACTAACCTCTCTGTCACATTCTTCATGTCTTTATCAATTTTTTGCAGCAATTCCACTTTTTGTTTGTTGGACATCGAAATATACTTTCGTTTTGTAGATCCTTTGGAGTTCCAGCATCGGAAATTCTATTTGACATAATCGAAAGTTCAAGTTTACTTTTATAAAATTGCTCTTACAGTCTGCAAAAAATAATAAGCGGGATCCAATTCGAAGATTAAGGAACAATGTAAATTAACATTAACTGAAATAAATAATTAGAGAATTTAGCTTACACCATCCGTTATACATTAAACGCGCAGGCGAAAATGTATTCTGCACTTGCGCACACGCATATGCGCAGTAGTCAAGGTCTTACACGCACGCGTAAAACGCCTGTGCGCATGTGCCAACGCGGCGCATACGCAGAAAGTTTTTAGCTTTGAGGTCCGAATTAACGACTTTTGACTGTACCTAAATTTTTTGTCTACATTTCGAACTTTAAGCCTAAAATGTTTCCAAAAATGCTATTTTCACATGTGTACAAACCACGTTTTGAGCACACAATTTAAGCTAAAAATCCGAAACAAAAACAAAAAACTTATCAAAAACGTAGTTTCTAACCAAAAATAATTTCAGAAGAATCCATGTACACAGCGATATGTTTTAACTTAAAAAAATCACAGAATTGCACAATCCATGCAACGAAGGAATCTATGAACTACGTACACCTAGCTTAAATAAATTAACATAACAGCAATAAATTTCAAAGAGTACAATCTATGCAGCGAAGGAATCTATGAACTACGCACACCTAGCTTAAATAAATTAACATAACAGCAATAAATTTCAAAGAATACAATATACACAGTGTTGTTTTTAAACTTAAAAAAACATCTATGAATTGCACAATCTAGGCAGGGAAGGAATCTACGAACTACGCACACATTGCTTTAATAAATTAACATAAGAACAACAATAAATTTCAAGAATATCGTGTACACAGCATTCTGTTTCAATTAAAAAAAATCTACAAATTGCGTAATCTAGTCATTGCGTACTAATCAACGAAATAAACTAAAATAACTATAATAAATTTTAAACAATTAAAAAAAAAACAACAATAACGACAGAACTAAAAAATGCTAAAAATATAATACTATCTTTCACAAATAAATGTTAAAAACCTTCTTTTCCTAAATCCTTGTAGGATTTCCAGCCATCCAAAAAAATAGTTGTACCAGGCTCAATCCACTCTTTAATATACTGCCAAACTTTGACTCATCAACTTCTATCACTTTATCTTTCCCTCCTATCATCTGAGACACATAGCATGCAAAGTCCAGTATACATAAATCACTTAAATACCACACACCGCATGAACCAACTAGCAACTGAAATCCAAGTTTCCACATAAAAAGGGTTGCCATAGAAACCAACATTGTCCCCAAAATCATTGCAGAACAGGCAATCGCGCCAAAAACCAGCACACAACACATATCGCTGTATTTGGCAACCCAAGGGTGCTTATAAGAGTAGCACCATTCTTTTAATAATAAATGCTATTGTAATAATAAAGTAATGCTATGAAATAAATGGTATGGAAGGGCTATATGTTGCCCTCTATAAACTGTTCTTGTAGCTAGAAATTGTTTACAGTTACAAAACTGTCCAGAGTACAGAGGTGTGTAGCAGAAAGCATTAGCATGCAATGAATACTTTAAATTTATGTGGAGCACATTTAATTTCTCTATCTATTGTATGACATTATTATATTCTTTCTTGTTTAAGATTCAATTTGCATTCAAACTAATACTAAGAAAAAATTAAAAAATTTTAATGTATATGTTATGTGACATATTTTAAAATTATGTTAGTTAAATTATTGGCTCAGTATTCAGATGTTAAGCATCTTTACCGTCACTTCTCCCTTATGTTTTCCCACCAAAATGCGAATTAGTTCTTGTGTATTTAAGGTGAAATTTTTAGATTCTAAGACGTGGTGTGTTCTGCCTCTTGAGGCCATGTTACTAGGTTGCTAGACAAAGATAAAATTTGCAGTCTTCGGTCAAATGTAAATTAAAATTTTACATTTGATTGATGACTCTGTGATACATTGCCACAAGTGATTGGCTGATTTGTAAGTCCAGGTGTGCCCCTCTGTTCTTCTGTCTTAAATAAAAAGCTCTTTTACACCTATCTCAAGTTTGAGTTATTACTTAGCGATAATTCTCTGCCGTTCTATTTAAAATTTAGTTACAGTTTATAGTTGTTAAGAAGATTTCTAAACTTTATAAGCAGTTTATCTGTTTTGAATGTTGTAGCTGTTTAAATGGGATATGTTTGTTGCAGGTATTTTGAAATAGAGAATCTGATGTGAGAAATGCAGCAAAACAGTTTCTTGTATTCTGTTCCTTCTTCTTTTCCTCCTGGAGATGAAAGGTAAATAAAAACATATTTTGTTTTAAATGTCTAGTGATATTTATTTGCAATTTAAAAAGAAGACACCTTTGAAGAAAGGAAATAATTTGATGCAGAAAAGTCATAAAAATATTCTAGTATAGGCTTTTATTTTTTCAAAACTGAAAATGTATCTGGAAAGTCCTGCTTTTTTTTTTTTTTTTTTTTTTTTTTTTTTTTTTTTTATGATCAATACAAATGAAATGGTACAAAAGTGTAAGAAAATTTTATTGAATCATGCTAAGCACTATTTTATTCTGTGACATTTTGTCATCTTCTCTGGCAGCTGGAAAATTCATCTTGCAAAAAATCATTAAAGTTCATAAAGAAGTTCTTGAAGTGCTGTTTGATATTCTCCTAAGGAGTGAATTCCAGGCAGTTCGGAGAAATTTGAAGTAACTCGAAGAGATGAAAATCGAATGAGGCAATGTCTGATGCATGTGGGGGATGATACAAAATATCCCAACCATACCCTTAATAAATCTTTGCCTGACATTCATCAAAATGTGGGTCCGAGCATTGTCATGATAGAAGACACCACCTTGACAATTGGTCAATTCTTGGTGCTTGTCATCTATATCTGCATTTAAAACTGACATTTGGAAGCAGTACTTTTTTGAATTTATTATCTGGTATGGTGGCCAAAATTCATAGTATACAGCTCCTTTGCAGCCTCATCGAGCACAAAGTGTTACTTCTGTGGGATGCACCCGGGATCGGACTTTTAGAGGCTTTGTAAGGACTTAAAAGAATTTAGTGCCGACACATGCATTTATGGTATTTCTTTTCTCTTAGTCTTGGTACGTATATTCCATGGTAAAACTGGCTTCGAGAAATTATTACATTACCTCTTTTTCCTGAATTTCTGAGTATATTTTTGTGGGGGGTCTCTTTCCGTGATGCCCTAAGCACATGCTTATTTTGCTTAATGGTTAATTCAGCTCTGAATACACTCAGTCTTTATCATAGGTTCTTTGGATTTACACCATGCTCTTTTGCTTGTAACATTATTATATGGTATCAACTTCTTATCTCCAGCAGTAGACCTAAAATAGTTCATTACTGAAAAGGAGTTTCTACATTTCTTTTCAGCAAAGAATCAAATATCAAAACTGAAGCAAGCATATACTGCTCTGGGAAGGGGGGTGTATACATTTTACAGCTTCCATACCCAGTCTTCTTCAGATGTACTGCACTTTCTGGAATAATTAGTCTTTCTGAGAGTTTCTGAACTGTATAATGTGAATTATCAATTATAGCTTCTTTTAATAGGTCTTTGTTTATAGAGGATGGCTATCCAGGGTGGGCATCATCTTTGAGGCTGAAATTTCCACTTTTAAACTTCTCAAACCACTTTCAGACTCTGTCATCAGAAACATCATTTTGCCTGTATATATGGCAGAAGTTTTATGAACACTCTATTTAGCATTTCTTCCTTTCCCCCTTTTTTAAATAAAAGCATAGTATGATGAAAAAACTTTTTGTTTTCATTTTTTAGCTTTGCTCTCAGCATGTTTTTTCAGGCTCATCTGTTTGGTTGTCAGATTAGTTGCAGAGAATACACCTCTCTCGTAAAATTGTTCCAGTTAATAGTTGTATTTTTATAAAGGTTGAATTGCTTCTCTCACCAGTTAATGGATGTCAGTTCTTCTGCTTAGCAGTGCATAAATTATTGCATTAAATGAACATATAATTTTTTTTCAGATAATAAACAGATTCATATTACAGATATAGCGCATTAAAGAATCGCGTTTGATTTTATGTTGCACTACCATTGTTTACCTGTTTTTAAAGTCGCATATCAGGGATTTTTTTATGCCTGCATCCTGTAACTTTACTTACAGTGCATTTTGTCTGAAATATTATTAATTTTTTCAAAATGCAAGGGAAAAATAGAATTATATTATTTTTTATAAAAATAAAACTGGCTTATCGAGAATCACATTGAACTAACACAAATTTCATATGATCGTGTTATAATGCCATGTTTATCCATTATTAGTGCTAAATCATGCTGTTTGGTGACAATGTATACATATTAATGATATAATAAGCTATGTAATGGAATTACAAATGTCTAATTTACTAAATTTTCCGGGGCAAAATATTTTTCTGAAATTCAAACGTATATTGATTACTTGAATTTCCTGGTTAGTTGAATGCAACATAATTGGGCTTTTATTGTACATTCTTTTTGGTGTAGCAATAAATAATGCAGAAAGAGAGATGAGATAAGGTTATCTTCACACCATGTTAAGCCTGCATTCTAATGCTTTACTTACAATTTTTCACACTGCATATCTGTAAAATTCAGTCATTTAAGAAGTACAGCTTAATAGAAGGTGAACTTTTGCATTCTTAATTGTTGGGCAAAATATATTTCTGAAGTGCTATGCTTTCTTTTTCTCCAATCTCAATCTCTCTCTACAATCTCATTACAGTTCACTTTGACAGAAACACCTGTACTCGATGTGTGTGTGTGTGTGGGGGGGGAAAGTACACCAAAATCTCAAAAGGGCAAAATCCATGTGTGCTCAAACGTGTGTTATCTATACGCATAGTACATACACCTGGGTACTTTTTGGTGACATGGTGTTTCTTCATCAGTACTTTTTAGTGAACTTTTGGTGAGAATGCAGATAATATTTTTCATTAGTGTGATCACTGGGCTGTATTATACATGTTATTGGATATACAAATGTATATTCATTTAAGAACTGATTAAAGTTGTTATGTAGCACAATGTTATTAAATCTTTATAAAAAAAATCAGTGGAAAAATTTTGAAAATGTCATTTTTTAATTATGTATGGGTTTATACGATATCTTTTAATTTTCTGGAGCAAAAGTGTGTTTTAATTTGTGTTGTGCTTCTGATCTGTTATTATTCATATATTAAATAAAATAATTACTTTTCCTTTATTTTAGGTTACATTTTCAAAACACTAATTCCTGTCCAGTATCTCCTAATGCTACTGCATGGTCCAATAACTATCCCAACACAATAGGATCAGTACCTATGCCTGCATATAATGGGTAATTTTGTTACTTTTTTTTTCATATTGTGTAAGGCCTTCAAGTAAGCATGATATGATCTTAAAATGAAGTAAACGGGTGATTGTGGTCTGGATATATTTGGAATTCTACATTTTTTTTATTTCCAAGATTTTCAGAAAATTGAAATGCAGACTGTGTATTTAGTTAAATTGCAACATCAATTTTTTTCAAATTTTGTTTTAGAATGAAAATACCATTCAGGGATTATACAAATTTAAGACTTTAAGACTACATGCTTAATTCAGCGAGAGATGAAACTTCTTGTCGAAGAAAATTTAAACTGTCTTATATAGCAAAATTATTTTTGCTCTTTATCTTATAGAGGAACAGGAAAATCTGATATTGTAACATTTTGGAGTGAAGTATTGAAACTGGAAGAAGATGGAAAGCATAAATATGCAGTATTAACAAAACTAATTAAACCAGTTTTTTTCCTTTCATGGATTTTGTTGAAAGTTCATTGAATTATATGGGGTATATGCCAGTATGTATGCATGCATATTTGTGTTTCACATCTATATTCTAAAATATTTGAGATTATGCTGGATTTTTATTTCACAATATTTTTCTGAATTTTTAAAATCGGATTGCAATCACCCTGAATAAAATAAAATCAATATCAAATATGACCAAACATTTTATATTATTTTGAAGTAAAATTTATGAAATTATATTTTGAATAACATATCATTTAAGTGCCCGCTTTCAATTAGTGGTCCTGAGCGAATTCGATGAACCCACTTTTTGATGACTGTATGCAATAACTCGAACCTAATGTAACAAGTGTAGTATTTAGTATTCATTTCATAATGCTTCGAGCACTTGTGGTTTATTTGCATAGACCATTTATTTCATATAATGCCACAAAAAGTTATCTAAAGGAATTACATCATTACTTCTGGAAGGCCAACAGTTGCATTTTGTGAAATTATCCTTTTGCCAACTTTTTTTTTGCTGTACGTTGATAATGGCATTAGCAGTGTAGTGTGTGGCACTGTCTTGTTGGAATCACATGCCATTCAAATTTGGCCACATTAATTGTTATTAATCATTGTTACTCACCAGTCACTGTAACTGCACCTCTTCCCTCATTTTGGGAATGCCACAATACCATAAATCACACCAAACAGTAATCTTTTGCAAATGGAAAGTCTACTTGTGCATTCCTTGTATAGTGTTTCCACACCAAAAAGGACAGTTTTGTTGGTTAATGTATCTAATGAAGAAATGAGTTTTATCTGAGATGATAACTTTTTGCTTAAAATTATTTTCTTTAGCCATGATGAATTGTCAGATGCAAATAAAAATTAGTGATATTTTAAACATGCTTGCTATTTTGTTTTAAAGTCATATTATTCTTATACAAGGGTCATTATGAAATTTGTGAGATACACATAGGTTTCTAAAGTTATGTTTACAAAATTTTAGGAGTGTTCAAAGTATTAAGATACAAAATTTTAGGAATGTTCAAAGCAATATCCTTCAGCCTGAATGCACTTCTATAGGTAAATTTTCCAAAGAGTAAATGCCTCAAGCCATTCATTTTATGAAATTGATGAAAAAAATGCATTTATAGTCTCATTATCGGAATGAAAACAAAGTCCATGTAAATTCTTCTTTAGATTAAAAAATAGCCAAAAGTCACACATAGCTAGATCAGGTGAATAGGGTGGATGTTCTATCACTTTGACGTGGTTTTGTTTAAGAAACTCGTTTTCAATATTGTTGAATGAAAAGATGCATTGTCATGGTATGAATCCTCTAACATTCACTTCTTCAAGAATTTCTGGAAGACACTTAATGGCGTACTAGGTAGCTGTGACTGTCTTCAGTCCTTCCAGCTTGATGGCTTTGACCATTCCTGTACTTCTGAAGAAAAAAGCATTCATTATTTTTTTTCATGGTACGTTGTCATTTCACCATGGTGTGCATGGGATCATCTTCAAAGACCCATACTTTACTTTCTTGATGTGGTAGAATCAGGAATAGGTCAAGAGCAGTGTGCAAAGATTGGGGGGGGGATGGACCAGAAAGAATTGAACAAGGAGTGGGATTGCTGGAATCAACTCAATCAAACCAGTCGTTATCTGGACTGATTTCTTTCAACTCAACTTTTGAGATTTCCTAAAAACATCTTTCTACATAGAACAACAATAAAATTCTGGAATAAAAAAAATACTAAAAGTTAAATAATGAAAATAAATTCATTTTTTGTTAAAGATTACATTATTTTATTTTTAAAGTTCATATTTTATTGCTGCTACAAAGCACAGTGTAAAAATAAATGTTTAGATTGGAGGTAGATACCAAAGAACAGGAAATTGTCTGCTGACAATACCGGGATTTTTTTGGTTTTTTATAATCTAATTTGGCAAAATGATACCAAATGTGGTTTGAGATTCTTCTACGCTTAGGGTCCACATTTTGTTCTGCAACCTTGAAAAAATACATTAGATGGAAAAATTTGTGTTTATAAATATATACTAATTCTACAGAAGAGAAATTCACAGCACTTGATTGATTACAAGACGTTAGTAAAATAAGTAAATAAATATAAATATGTTATTTTACATAAATATTACAGTAACATTGTATGAAAAAGTTAATACCTTATATACATAGCTATACTATGACACAGTATTCAAAGAATTGAAATGAAAAACTCAAAGGAACAGCTCCAAAGAAGCGAAACGAGCAAATAATCAAGACTCCATAGGATTCAGATCTGCAGCTAGAGCAGGAGTGAATAATCACGATGCTGACAGCTGCGAATCTTAGGAACTAGTTCCTATAATCTACATACCTTAAAACAGATTCTCATCTTGGCAGATGGGAAAAAAATAAAACTCCATCCATTTGCAAACAGGGTGGGCAGTTTTGCTGAGATGTGTCAGTTTATTTAATGTTTTGTTTTTTAAATGCTAGATAAAACAGAAGCAAACCAAAAACGCCCATGTATACATACATAACACAGAGATGTTTCTGGTAAATAATAAAGGAAAGAATGCTAGTGTTTACAATAAGAGAAATCAAATTTTTGGCACGCTTCCCAACAAAAGCTCTCAGTGAACTGTTAAAGAATCGCCATTCCGATTTCGCCAGAGCACTGTTCATTTGTTCACTAAAGTGAATTGGTTCTTTGAATCCGTTCTAGAGCAGATCATCCATCTGTAATTTTGACACATGCCTCTTTTTGGTGCTCGGTTTAAATTATGGGGAACCCAACGGGAAACTAATTTTTTCATATGCAGTTCTTCATGAACAAATTTGTGTATGGTGGTGAATTCAATGTTATCATTTGGTAGGTGCAGCAAATATCATTGATTAAGATTTCCTATGTGGCAAATACATTATCCGGGATTACTGCTGACAACGGCCTGTGTATTCTTCACCCTGAAGAGAGTTACGACCTCTGTGAAATTCTGTAAACCATATGAACACAGTAGCACGAGATGGACCTTCATTTCCAAATGCTAATTGTATATATCGAATGCGGTCCATGATTTAATCCCACTATAAAATCATACACTGCTGGAATCAGTAGCCAGAGTAGCCGCCATTGTTAGAGATCACCGCTGCCATACGCCTCGGCATTGATTCAAAGAGACTTTGGATATGTTCTTGGGGTACAGCAGACCAAGCAGCTTCCACACATTGCCAAAGTTGACCTGGTGTGGCAGCTTGAGATGTAATCTGAGTCAATCGTTCAGCAACAATGGACGATATGTTTTCTATCGGCAAAAGTTCCAGAGAGCGAGCCGGCCAGGGAAGCAATTCAATCTGGTGATTGACGAAGAACCCTTGGACAATGCGTGCCACATGTGGTCGCGCATTATCCTGTTCAAATATGGCTGTGGGCAAGTCCTGAAGGTAAGGAAGGACAACTGGCTCCAACACCTCGGAGATGTAGCGCTGGCTGTTTAAAGTATCAGCAATTGGTATTAGAGGAGTGCAAGAGTGATATCCAATACTTCCCCATGCCATAATACCTGGTGCAGGACCAGTGTGGCGGTGCATGACACAGCTGTGCAGCATCCTCTCTCTACGGTGTCTCCAGATTCGAATTTGACCATCGTGGTGTTGCAGACAGAAGCATGATTCGTCAGTAAAGACAATTTCACTCCATTCTGCCATCCACATCCTTCTTTCATCGCACCATTGGCGGCGGAGACGTCTGTGGTTCTGCGTCAAGGGTAGATGAAGCAATGGACGTCTTGCAGACAGACCACTCTGCTGTAAAGGGCATCAAATGGTATGCACAGACACTGGATGATATGTTACAGACTGAATGTGCTGTGCTATGGTTCATGATGTGACTGAGCAATCCGTCACTGCCATGCGCACAATGTTCCAGTCATCATGTGAAGGGGTGCACTGAGGTGGATGCGATCGAACATGTCGGTCCGTCGAACCCTCTTGCATCCAACGGTCACATATCCGCATTACAGTTGTTCGGTTTCATCCAACATGACTACCAATTTCCCTGAAAGATAATCCACACTCTCGGTAGACCATTATCCTTCTTCTGTCGAACTCGGATACTTGATCAAATGATGATGGCTGCTTAGTACGAGGCATAATTGATCATTTTTTTGAAAAAACCACAAGAAAAACATAATTGTCAAACTTGAAATCGTCGAAAACTCCAAGCCTTAAATAGCGCTTTGAAGTGGCGCCTGATGTGTGTCTGCGCTGAAATTCTAATCATTTGCATATCTCACCTCCGCTAATGCATGTTGTAAATTTCATGTTATTTGCATGCTTCCTTCAGGGTGTTGCATTTAGGGTGGCCAGCAGTGTAGAAAATAATAGTTCAATATCGTTCACACGTCAACTCCATTTTTCCTACTGCCTAAAATTTATTCTATGCTAAACTACTTGCAGTTGTCCAATACAAAATTGTCTGCTATGCTAAAATAGTTCATATTTTATAGTTTGCATACAGAAAATATTAACTCCATGAATACAAAGTTTTTTTT